CCTGCTGGCTCTGAATCATGCTGACTTACCTGATGAGCACAGCTGAGGTTTGAGAAGCACCAGGAAGACATAAGACTTCCCTTGCATCTGGGATAATATACCAACATCTTAATGGGGCTAATTAGCTATTAGCACTAAAGCTATTACTTTTGGTCTGCTGCTAGCTCAGGCATCAGAGTGAATCATGCTGAAAGAAATAAGGGAAGAGACCAAAAAGGGCACAGCTCCAGCATCCTAACAGAGAAATGTGTATTTCTCAGCTAAGCAGGGTTAGGACCTGCTGCCTGGCTTAGCAGAGTAGTGACATGGCACGGTATACATCCACACACCCAAACACTCTGTCTTCCTCCTCAAAACAGGCCTTTGTTTTTTACTGCTCTTTGAAAACAGAACCGGTCTATGCCACTCCAAATGACGTTTGTACGCTGTCCTGGAGAAGGTTAATTGCTACGGGCCAAAACTGTGCCAGAGTTTGTGCTAATGATTACCAAACCAGAGACTGTGCTTGAGTCTGTGCCCCCCAATTCATTTCCTTTGTACAGATGTGGCCAAAGTGATAATAATTTTTAAAATTCTGTTTTAAGGGCTGCCTTCAGTCTGAAATTTGTGCATACACATATGCATGTTTATAAATGCAGACAGGACACTTTGCAATCTGGTGCGGTTACTGTGAGTATGGTAAACCTGCCTATGTGTGTGCACATGCGCTTACAGATCACTGATTACTCACCATAAATCATATCAAAGGATAGAGGATTCAGTCTATAAAGTGCTTTGCTTTTATTCTTTTTCCCTTTTTTATAGCATACTTCGCTAAGAAAGAAGGTACCTCGGATATTTTGCTGTGTGGTCCTGGTGCTGGGTAAGTGCACTTAAAAATATTTCTTGGGAGTTTTCTCTGCCTCAGTGCTTCTATAGTCGCTGAGTCATATGAGACAAAAGCAGAAATTCCAAGCTTTCCTTGAATGCAGAAACAGGAACACAGACAACAAAATATAGTAAACAGATAATTTAATACTTGTAGGGAATGAAGCATGAACCTCCAGTTGTCTTATTCAGGTCTAAATTCCTTTGAGCCTTTCCAGAAGTGCTGACTTTCTCTTCTCCATGGATGTATGAGAGAACTGAAAACACGGAAGATCTCAGATACAGCACAGGACAGACATGATCCTCTCTGTGAAGGCTCATGTGTGTTAAAATGGAAAAACAAAACATCGATTTTGGAGGGTGGGTTTGGGCAAGGAGGGAGATGCGGCTACATTGCAATGAGGGGCAGGGGATAAGGCGATGAGAGAGTTGTCCTGGGTTGATGGTCTACTCCAGCCTGTCTTCTTCCTTTGTTGCTGGGTTGTGGGTGCTGCTTTTTCCATCCAACTTTCCAGCCCTGGAGTAGAAAATTAGTTTGCAACCTAATGAAATGCAGAGCTGAGTAATAATCAGAACTCTCACATAAGATGAAGTTTTTCTTGAAATTGGCATGGTAAAAAGAGCTCCGCTTTCTATTATTACTTCTAGGATCTGTCCTCCAGACTATGTATGCTTGAAAATTGGGCCAAATCCTGATTATGGTTTCACTAGTTTTGATACATTTGGCTGGGCTTTCCTTTCCTTATTCCGCCTGATGACCCAGGACTACTGGGAGCGTCTGTACCAGCAGGTACCAGCTTTGTGCATAATTCAGAACTGGTTTTCCAGGGAGAGCAATAGCCAAAGCAGAAAATGTGTAGAGAGGACAAGAAACCTCAAATAAAAGCAATAGCTCCAAGTCGTTGAACCCACATCCTCCCTTCTCCCTTCCCCCAAGCTGTGACTGCTAGAAAAGGGATGATGAAGTACTTCCCAGCAATAGCCCTATCAGTCTGCTGGTTTAGGGACTTAAAAAAAAAGTGCTAAAAGGGTCTTGTATTGTACTTCAAAAATATACCTTCAAAAAACAATGCCTCCTCAGTCATCCTCATGGGGTATATGATCAGTGATTCACAGGTGATAGTGTATGAAGCGTGAGAAAGAGGGGGAAGAAGGGCCAAGGAAGGTATATTTTCATTTAAGCTTCCTAAAGCATTGTGTCTGGGAAGATGAGTGCTTCTAAAGAATTTCAGAGACTCGATGAAAGCCTATTTGGTATCTTTTATGGTAATTTTTACCTCTGGGGTGTGTTGCTTACAGACCCTCAGAGCATCTGGGAAGGTGTATATGCTCTTCTTCATGCTGGTCATCTTTCTGGGCTCATTTTATCTAGTCAACTTGATTCTGGCTGTAGTAACCATGGCATATGAAGACCAGAACAAGGCCACCATTGCTGAAACGGAGGCAAAGGAAAGGAAATTTCGGGAAGCCATGGAATTATTACAGAAGGAGCAGGAAGTATGTAAATTATTACCTTGAAAGCATTAGTCTCAATGTTCTGTTGTCAGTCACGTAAGAAAAAGCATCACTCCTTGTGTACAACTGTAAATAGTAGTCACTCATAGGAAAAGGAGCAAGTGATAACTTATTGAAAGTAGTGTTTGCTAGAGCTACAGGAGCAATTCCTAGTTCAACTGTATATTTTTCCTGGGAAACAATGAATTTTGTTGTGGATAATGAGCATTAAAGGCTGCTGTTACGGTAAGAAAAACAGTATTTTAAAATCTGGAAAATGTAACTTTCTATCAGCTAGCAGCCTCTAAAAGAAAATGCAGGTGTTTTTAAATTTTTCTTCTATTTTATCTCTGTGGGCTGCTGAGCAAAGAAATACACAGTAATTCTGTTGATCAACTGCATTAACATCTGAGCCAAAACCTTTTGTCATTGAATGAAAAGTCTCTTGGTAACTTAAATGGCTTAGAAGTTTCTGGAGCAAAATACTCTTGAGTTTTGAAAACATTGTCCTAAGTTCAATATATGATGGGAAGTCAACCACAGTCTGAATACAGTCCCAAGGACCCCCAATGGAAAAACAGATTTTTAGTACTGTTTGAGCATTTATTTGGGGAAAAGGGTATATTCTACAGCATTATTTTCAAACTGAGTATTTTTATTGTAAGAAAATCTGCCATATGGAGGAATAGGAGCTATAAAGTGATTATTTTGCCCCTGGCAGGCCCAATGCATGCGATCATGTAACACACTGCAAATAGCAAATTGTTCAGTGCTCCGTATGTTGGGGAATTTCTCTCTTTCTTTTATTGTTACCACATATTGAAAGATTTTTAATGAGTTTTGTGAAACACAAGTTATTGAGAGGAAATAATATAGAGCACAGAAGTGTTTTCTTTCTGCTCATATTCAAAGTACGCAGCAAAAATATCATCCATGTTTTTATTTTAATTTCAGTCATTGGCTATTAAAGGAATTGATATCCAGTCAATTAGCTCCTTTGAAGCCTCTTCTCTGTCTACCAAAGAAATAAAAGAAAGAAGCAATAGGCAAAAGAGAAATAAGTCCTTGGGGATAGAAGATAATGAAGAAGAACAATTCCCCAAGTCACAGTCCACAGACAGTCAACGAAAGTTGGTAATCTATTGTCTGAATCTGAGATCCTTACAACTTTTCCAATTTTAATACTAAAATAAATTGCTTGAAAACACAAACCAAATCCCATTAGAAACACTGATAACTCTTAAGTCTTTAAAATAAACAAACTTTTGGGATAAGGAAGAATTATATGTAAAAATTAATTTGAAAAGGAAATATTACAAATGAAGGACAGAAGGAAAGTTATAATAACTGTTAAAATACATTTTCTATAACATTGAGAAATAGAAAAAAAGTGAATGACTATCAGAATTTAACTTGTATGCCATCATTCTCATCATTATTATCTGCCTTTTAAAATCTAAGCATAATCCTCCCTGAAAAAATCTAAATCAAGTAAGTGTTTTGGACTTGCAATGATTGATAGGAAATGTTACGAAACTCTGAACATTTATTGCTTCCAAAAATTTTCTCTGTGATATTATGGCATTCTCTCTTTATTTCTTTTACTGGACTTTTAGTCTTTCCTTGGCCTGGTGTACGGTCCGAACTCAAATCAGGCGAAACGCAGACTTAGCCACGGGAGCGTGTTCAATTTCCAAATACCTGCTTTAGAAGTTGATTCCAGAATGGATTTTGGTGATGAGGAAACCCACAGTGCTGGGGAACATGCAATCCAGTGTCAGTCACTGTCAATCACACGGATGGGAAGACGTTCCAGCTTGCAAAGTCAAATGAGCCACAGCTCTCGGCCTGCTACCCCAAACTGCATGCAGAGCAGCAAATGGGCTAGCGTGGATGACTGCAACGGCATGATTTCGGCGGTGGGAGGGGGAAGAAGCAGGGTGCACAGTCTAGATCCAGTGTCTTCTGATGGAGTAATGCTTCCACCGGTAATAGAAGACCTGGGAAAGGGGAATCTGGTAAGGAAAAGATATTATTTTAAATACATACTTCATATTATGGTTGCTCTGTAAGTGGCAGGTTTTTCTTGTCTTCAGAGTTTCAGTGTAATGGCAAACAGTGATGTGAAATGAAGTATACTGATGTGGGAAGTTTGTAAGTTGTCAGTAGAAAGTGCTTTTTAATATTCTGATGAGTTCCTGAAAACTAGACTTCATCATTCCTGTCATAAACCCTATTTTTCTGCTATTACCAATTTGTACTAACATAGTTTTGAAGGTTCCTTGTGCTGGAATTACAAGTCACCAAAGAGACTTTTTATCCCATACCCTCCAGGGGGGTCATTTTGAGCAGTGCCTGTAATTTCTTTCTCCTTCATAGCACCTTTAGCATCATGCAGAAGCTTTGTCTGTAAATTCTCCAAGTGGGTAGAGATGCTTTTCTACCGGTTTATCCCTCATCTCTCTCCTTTTCCTTTAGTCTCTGGAATATTTCTCAGGCCTAGTTCCACTCATATGCTTATTTCCAAGGTTTGTACTTGCCCCGTTGCTATTATGTGCTTGCAGGGTCCATTTACTGCAGCGTTATTACTGAAGAGTAGGACCTTCGTTCTCAACATCTATTACATCTTGTAAAAAAGTACATTTATTTGGCTGCATGTCACTGTTCCTATTAACTTCCATAGTTACCCATCACCACATCCTACTTCATTTTATTCCTGTGGTATCTACCTAATCGTGTTTACTTCTTTAAGCAGGCAGCTGTAAATGATGAGAGCAGCATGATGCATATGCCTCCTCATCTGTCAGTGGAGTACTTTAACGAGGCACTTCAGCGACAAAGGGCAGCAAGTGCAGTCAGCATAATTACTAGTGTCTTGGAGGGTAAGTGGTTCCTCATTATGCTTATTTCAATCCTAAGGTAATACTGGCATGAAAGACGAAAATGTCAATACATAACTTAAAGGTTAATAGAGATTTGTAGGCGTGTAGTTAGGAATGTCATTGTTAATTTGGCTTTTTAAAAGAAGAACTGCATTATGATACAGTCTTTATGTACTAGAATGCATCCTTTGCCTAATGTAAGATCTTGTTTTGTAGGACAGACAGTGAAGGGGATTGGAGTGAGAGAGGGTGTAAGGAGTCTCTCTAGCATCTGAGGTGTGGGACTGGGGTACTGTTTTCTTCTCCTGACTCTGGGACTTGTGATATGACACTGGTAGAGACATAGGCATGCAGAATACAACAATAAGATTATGAAAGCAAAATCAATTGCGGCAATTCCTGGGTTTTTAATACTTAACCTCACTATTTTACTCCTTTATCTTACCTTTCCCTGTGATTTTTTGGGGGGGCTTTTATTACTGACAGTTATTTTGATGACTGATAGTTTTGTTGCAGATCTTACTGAAAACTTTCAGCCCAGGTTGTTCAGGATGAGGAAATCTTGCTTTGTTTTGTTTTGTCCCTGTTGAGGAGCTCTATCAACAGTTCTTGCACCACAAGCGTGGCCAGGGGGGTACTGTTGTGGAAGGGAGGTCCCTTTTCTTAAATTTTTAAAAATTTTTCTTGGGAGAATCACAGTTACAACACATCCAGTAGAGCCTTGCTTTGCAGTGTAATTCACCGAAGGTCTGGGTTTTGTTGCACGCTTTCAGCTGTGAACTGGGATGGAACAGGACTTGCAGCTCTAAATGGCTGTGGATTAACCTGAGAACAGGCATCAGAAAGGGGAGAAGGAAAGGTCTTTGCTTGGACCTGAACACCAGTTCTGCTGTATCCACGTTGTATACATAAAAAAGAAGCCATTTGATCTGGAAGAACAGAAGATAAGAGCCGGACCTGGAGTGGGGTTGAGTCAAGACGATCATGCTGGAATAAGCAGTGTAGGGTGGAATCTGAGACTTGAGCCTGAAGGAGAAGAAAGGAAAACTAAACAGTGGGAAGAAATAAGGACAGGTCCAACTAAGAAAGGGATAGGAGTCAGATCCAGCTCATCTGATCTCTGAAAAATTTTCAGGTGCCTGAAAACCAGATTACTAATAATTCCTACTGTGCTTTCATTTAGCTTTAAGTAAGCTCCAGTTTGTCCATGAATTTGCACAGGACTTCAGCAGAGTCAAAAGTATTTTGGAGGACTTCTTAATATTGATGATGGAGAAAGGCTATGAGATTTATATTTGATCAAAAGGATGTAAATGACAAAGCCAGAACAGCTTCTATCCCATGTTTTATTTATAGAAAATGGAGAGGTGTGGCAGCTTGCATTAGCTGGAAAATGGTAGGCATGACCTTTCCAGTAGAAGTGGCCTAAGGCCAAATTTCAGGCACTGTTGCTTGGATTTGCCTCACCTCTAGTCAGAATTCCTGTAGCTGCCATTGACTCTCTAGACTTTCTTAAGAGTCAAAAAGATGTTGAGTGTGATGCAGCCAGTGTTCTAGACATTGATGTAAGGATAAGGCCAAAAGTGCCTTACCTGCTATATTGACCTACAAGAGTGTTAGAAGCTGTGGTGTGGCCTCTACATCATAAATATCTGCATTTAGCCAGAGGATTGTAGTGCAAGTCTGAGTCTAAGGCAAATAAAACCCGATCCAGAGGCTTTTGAAGTAAGTTCATATGAATGCATATTGAATCGAATTTTCTCTGAATTTTGTCTTCATATTTATTAGCTGATGTAGGGACTAAAGGAATGGTATAAAGTGCAAGGAAGCTTTAGGGCTCTGTGTGAGGTGTGGGGCTTCCTTTTTCTTCTCTGGTCTTTTGAATACTTGAAGTTGTTATTTCACCATCTTGCTCAGTGATAACTGTTTAATTATAGTGGGGTTTTCTTTTGCATTTAGAACTTGAAGAATCTCAGCGGAGATGCCCGCCATGCCTGAAAGATTTTGCTTTGAAGTATCTAATTTGGGACTGTTGTCCGCTTTGGCTGAGAATTAAGAAAAAAGTGGCTGCTTTCATAAAGGATCCTTTTATCGATCTCACCATCACTGTTTGCATTGTGATGAACACTTTGTTCATGGCACTGGAGCACAATAATATGTCAGATAATTTTAAATTGATGCTTAATATAGGCAACTTGGTAAGCAAATTCTCAGCTATGTGACATTTTATACCAAGGATTGATTGATGGATATTTTCACTGTAGACATAAAGAGTAACTGTAAAAATTAAAGAGTAGCAAGCTCTGCATTTATAAACTCTAAATTTCTAGTGTAGACAATTCCCAGATTTTATTGATATGCTTCTAACACACTCCTGAGAAGGCAGAAAACAATTCTCCCATTTTAATTGGAAGTACATTAGAAGTTCATAAAAATGGGTTTTGTTGACCTGTTTGTGAACATTAGTTGTGGAAATAAGATCTAAATATAAGATAAATTTGTGGCTACTTTTAGGCTGATGCTACTATTTCTTTGTCACAGGTTTTTACAGGAATCTTCACTGCAGAAATGATCTTAAAAATCATCGCTCTAGATCCCTATTATTATTTTCAGCAGCACTGGAATATTTTTGACAGTGTAATTGTCACACTGAGTCTAATTGAACTGAGTTTACCCAGACACAAAGGCAAGAAAGAAAGGCGAAAAGGAGGAACCCTGTCAGTTTTACGATCCTTCAGACTGGTAACGCCTCACGCTTACTCAGTTGTATAAAACTTGATGTGAATATAACAGAGAATACTTCTGTTGTCTGCAGTTAGGATGCAGGAAATTATTATTATTAAATTTCTTTTTTCCTCCTCTTGGCACTAGGAATAGGAAACACACTCTGAAACTCCTTGTGATGTTAGAGTCAGAATTTGATGACATATATATTTCTTCTGAATATACCAAGAAATAATCAGAGGAAAAAATATTTCAGAGTAGATGTTATGAAACTGGTGTCAAAAATTAAAAACTAGCACAAGAAACTTAGGAAAAAGTGTCAGGGTACAAATACAGAAAAAACAATACTTGAAAATAAACATGAAATGATGTTAAGGTATGCATATCATATACCGTGGACTGGCTGAGGTTTCTTTACCAAAAGATAGACTCCTTTTATAGCAGTATAGCAGCCGGTCTCCCAGCTTTGGTCCTTTGTGTTACATGTAAGTTAGGCATCATAATCCACATCATGCACATTGTATGGATACCTGCTTGTGTGGATCAAACTCTTACCAGGGACTCAAGTTAGCCTGGTCCTTTATGAGGCAGTTAGTTTATGTCTGCAACGTCGCATGGTTAAAAAGAAAAAAAAAAAAAATTTAAAAAAACAAATCTATAAATACTTTTTAAAAAGTGTTAGCGTCACAATGCTACAAATATTACATTGCTGGAATAGTTCAGAATATCTGTAAAATGTTTTTTTTCCAGGATTTTAATGGTGCAAATATGGGTTATCTCTACCAATCTCTAACACTATGGTGTTTTTTTTTTGTTTCTACACAGCTGAGGGTCTTCAAGCTGGCAAAGTCCTGGCCAACTTTAAATACTCTAATTAAAATAATTGGTAACTCCCTGGGAGCACTGAGTAATCTGACCCTTGTCCTGGCAATCATTGTTTTCATTTTTGCTATAGTAGGGGTGCAACTTTTTGGGAAAAGCTATGGGGAGAACAGTCATAAAATAAACAAAAATGGCAAGCCACGCTGGCACATGATGGATTTCTTCCACTCATTCCTTGTTGTTTTCCGAATTCTGTGTGGAGAATGGATTGAGACCATGTGGGACTGCATGGTGGTTGCTGAACAACCTCTGTGCCTGCTTGTCTTTCTGCTGGTCATGGTGATAGGAAATTTAGTGGTGAGTTTTCCACTATTTTCTACTCTTCATCCTGTCTATGGTAGAATCTATTTAATTGCCATTTTGTCAACCAAAGGTAGTTTCCCTAAACACAGGTGGAAAAGTTACCTGTGTGTGTTATAGTCTGCAAAAACCTCTTTTGCCTTTCATATTTGAGCCACTGTCCATTTTTTCACATTTTGTGTGCTTTGTATACAGCATCACTTGACCTTTTCATGTAGCAATGTGACGAGGAATATCTTTGTAGTAAATATAATACAGGCAACTATGTTTCTTCACATCTTGGGATTTGGATGTAAATGATCAGTAAGGCTTATGATTTACCTGCTTGAATTAATGGAGCTAAGTGCTTAAGTCCCTTTGTAAATCAATTTTTAAAAAAGCCTTTTTTTAAAAATGTCGTGCAAGTATTGAATTCTTTACCAGCAAATGGCAGAATCTACACTCCTATGACTGAAATCAGAATTTTCTTTAATCATCTCTAAGTATGTTTACACCCAAGAGCTAGATCCTGCTATGGCACACTCTGCAGAGCCTTGCACACCGCGCTGGGGCGTCAGGGGCAGGCTGCCTTCCTGGCCCTGTTCTGTTATTTCTTATTGCCCAGATCATAATCTTTTTTTCAGCAGCTTTGTTTCTCATGCCGTTCTCAGTATCATTCACATACCAACCTTCCCTTAATTTAAGAAACAGCTGAAAAGAATTAATGGTAGGCAGCCCTTTATGGGAAATACCTGTTCTGAATCCCAAATCCACACGTTTAAAATCGTGCCTGTTCTACACTGCAATGATTGATTTCAGTGATGAAATGCTGTGAGTGATATTCATATCACATAATGTTAACTATCAAACAATTAGGTGTTTAGCCTATGCTCCTTACCTAGACTTTCTTATTACCAAAGGAAACCGAGAGGTATCGGAGAGTCAGATTTATTCCAACCTAAGCTCAATAACTAAGACAGATGGGATGAATTGGGTTCTGGAAGGTTAATGTTCTCCACTGACTGTGGTCCCTGGATGACTCAGGGGTGCTATCTGCCCGGTTTTGATCCAATTGATCCAATAAAAAGTAAGATACATAGATCCCATCCCAAACTGAAACATTAGGAAAAAGAATTTCTCCCATTCCTTAAAAAAAAAAATAAATGAGATTTATAAATTCTTCTATTTAAATGCACTTAAAAGCAGGGAGGAAACCTCAGTTTGAGCTTCTCCTGATTTTTTTGTGGTAATGTTGCAGATTTGATGCAATTGGCGGGCCTGAATCTGATCTCACAAGATTTTGGAAGTACCTCCACAGAGGAGGCCTGATTTAATTTTAGGTTGAAAAAGGAAGAGACATTATTAAACTGACAAGCCATGACCATAATCTTTGTTAGTACACTGACCTTTGAAAAATTGTTTTGGCTAAATAATGCATTTGGTGTGTACAGATCTGGTTTAGCTACTATTTTAAATAACTTTTTAGAGGAAGAGGGTCATGGGAACATTGAACTTCCTGAGAGAGAAGTTTACTTCATCAACCAGTGATCACTCATAGTAATTTCATTATTACCTTGTTTTGGTTTGCTCAGTAAGCCTGAACTTTGATAGTTTCTGTGTTCTTCAAAGTTAGAATTTAGATTTTTGAATACTGCTCTCCTGACTTTAATTTTATTGTTATTTCAATGACTTTCAGGTTCTCAACCTTTTCATTGCACTACTGCTGAATTCCTTCAGTGCTGACTGTCTCCAAACAGCAGAGGATGATGGAGAGATGAACAATCTTCAGATTGCCTTTACTCGGATTCACAAGGGATTTCGCTTTGTGAAGAGCGTTACTTGGGATACTTGCTGTGGAAAGCTCAGACATATAAGGAAAGTGCACAGGAAGAAAATCAATTTCACTGCACAGAACCAACTTGGGTTCAAGTGTGAAGAAATAAAAAATCGTAAAGAGAATTACAATAACGAATGGGCTGAGAAAAATGAGGACAAATGCTTAGGTCATGAAGATTTTATTACCAATCCCAACATATTTGTTTGTGTCCCGATTGCTGAGGCAGAGAATACAAGTGAGGGTTTTGAAGATGACGATAAACTCAGCACATTTACAGACACAGAATACAGCAAACAGGTAATTAATTTCTTTATTTGTGTGGGAACAGTAGAATCATATGTATACTGAGAGACGCATGTATGGTAGAAGACTGTGTCTAGCGGAACAGGGTGGCATATATTGATCCGTTTCCAGAGAGTTACCAAATTTTGAACTAGAACCAAAAGTACAAAGAGTGCAAATGCTTAGAGTGAGAGTAAATTATGACTTGGAGCCTTTTAAAATCAAGATTCTTTCATGGTCTTAAAAGAAAGACCATAAATTGTTGGGTTTGCTTCAGGAATTCCTAGCTGACACATTTTGTTACATGCAGGTAACTACATAGCCCGTTGATTGTCTGTAGATAATTGTGGCAGTCCTTGGTGAACTTGGAATTTTTATGTAAAAAATTTATGTGAATAATGCCAACTATTTTGACGTTATTTACATAACAGAACGAAAATGTATGTTCTGCATAAAGAACATTATCATGGACTCATAATATGAAATTATAGCTCAGGTCTCTTCTTTGTATTTATCATTGCTGTGTGTAAAATGTAGTAATTATTAGAAGAAGTCAGAAGGATTAAGTATGGAGTGGCTCTATTAAGGTCATGTTTCTTATATGATAGTATACATTATCCTATTTCTTTGTGTTCTCTGAATTCTTCAGTACCATTTGGCCTATAGAAGATTGCTGTTCTGGTCTCAGGATTTCCCACCTTAAGTTTCCATCTAAATTCCTGTGTAAAAATTCTCACTTAACTTTTGACTAGTTCACTAAAATTCCTTAGTTTGCTGCATGTCATTGGGAAAAATTTCCCTTTCTCTATCCTTAGGTAAAATCAGAGACTCAAAATAATCATATCTTATGACTTCAGTCTGGAGAGTCCCATTCTAAATCAAATGCATGCCTTATCTTTCTTTCCCTTCCAACTTGTCCACCCCCTAAAAAGGAAAAAGAATCCCCCTCTAATCCACAGATTATTTTCAGGATGAAAATCACCTGAGGCAAAGGGGAGAAAGAGGAAAAAATTCAGGCAGCTGGAGTAAAGGATCAGGATTTTCCTCTGAAGAATTCAGTGTGCTTTACCTAGGCAAGGATAGGAAGATTGAACCATCATCACCAGAAGAAAAAGAGGTAACGATTTTTTTCCTACAGCATTGACTTTCCAATACTGGTCAATCATGGGTATGTTTCTGTTCAAGGATTTGCTGGAGTGGAGTTTAGTGGCAGCAGCACCTCGGGGCTTGCAGTAGCCGGTCTGATTGGTTAATGACAGAGCCACAATCCTATGAATGAAATAGAAGCTGTGCTGGGTTTTAGTTATTGATTTTTAAGAAAAATGTATGTACAGGAAAGAGAGTGTTTGGAAATGGAAAAACTACAAAATAATTTGATTCAAATAAATAATTTTATAAAATTCTCTCTGCTACTTTCCATTTATTGAAATCTGAGTCCACAAAAAAAGGAGAGCAAGGAAAAAAAAAAGGCACTAAAAGAGAGATATACTTCCAGTGGGAAATTCCAGCAAGTCTGTGTCCTAAGTGTCTCAGTTTCAAGAAACATAATACTTTAAATTAGTTTCTCACTATTACAAAAAAGATAGTAGTTACTAATTAAAAATATTTTTAGAATAATTTTGAATAAAGAATACATTCAAAAAAGTACAGAACAGCAATAAGCGAATGTAAAAGAACAAAAGCATAGAGCAAGTAATTTGTAACAAACCGCTGACTCATCATACATTATATATGGTGTAATGGAATAGCAAAATGATTAGTAACTGGAGACTATATGATGTGATTCCAATTTCTACTTCATAAATACTGTCATGGGTGTTCAGTTCCTGATACAACACCAGATATATTTATCTGGTTCTCCTGTTTGAACCCATCTTGCTATGATTTCATGATTTTAACCCAAGTAGTTTATCCGACTTTGAGGACTACATATACTTATAGGCAATTTAAAAGCTCTTCAATTTACCAGCTTATTAGGCAGTCGCATCTGGTTCATGTAGACAGATATTGCTCATATACTTTTAAAATCAGAAATTTTGTTACATTACCAGCACTACTTGAAATATTAGTACATAGCCAAGTTTTACCTTTGAGTTTTATTTGTTCATGGATGAATTTATTAATTTGGAGCTGAATATAGAAAGAATTAATACCTGACCTTATTTTACTTGGTAGTTTGATGGTGTCAGCTCTTCTGAAGGCAGCACAGTGGATCTGACAAATCCTGAAGATCTTTTGAGACAGATTCCAGAGTTTGCTGAAGACTTCAAGACTCCAGAAAAATGTTTTCCAGAAGGTCAGGCTTTCATGGTTTCACTAGAGTGAAGTGAAGGAGTCTAAACCTGACTTGTTTCTTTAGATGCTGAGCCAATAGGGTCAGATTATTTTCAGTTAATTTTAGTTATCTGGAAGTTGGGTAAATAGTCCAAATCATTGTCCCTTTCTAGTCAACAGAGAGATCATGACACCTGAAAAATAAACCCCCTTCCCCTTAAAGTCAGTTGCTTCTAACTGGGACCTGGGTAGTGACATAGATCCAATCCCCCCAAAATGAGATTGTTATAGTGAAGTGAGATGCATTTAACTCTATTGGACAGCATCCAAGTGACTTTGGGGCTTAACGTAAGAGAATTGTAGGTGATCAGATCTCACCTGACAATGGGCACTAAAACAAAGTACTTAGCACATTGGATTTGTTAATGCTTTGCAACAGTATAAATGTTTATTCCTTGAATAGCATTTCATGAACAATTTCTGTTACAAATGAAAGAGTAAACTAAGCAGAGAGAAGCTGCTAGGATGAAGTTGAAATTTCTACAGGGTGATAATCTGGGAATCCCTCCTCAAATCATCACACAACATCTAGCTTTACAAGTTGTTACAGGATGTGTTCAGTACTTTCATGAATTCTTCCTACCCTAACGTGTAACAATATGTGGTTTTCATAAGATGGAAAGAAATAGCTCTTGATTTTTCCCAAATAACTGTCACTACTGAAGGTCAGGTGTAATCACTGCACTCTCAGTGTTATTTGTGAGAGAATAAACTGTATCAAGTCAGTTTATAGGCTCGTTTCTTCCAAGTGTGTTACATTAAATGAATTATAACTGTGGCAAAATTCGTCCTGGTGCTCCAATTTTCTCAACCCAGTCAACCTGACTGACCACCACTATTTCCACTCAACCCTCAAGTTTTCTTAAATTCTCTTGTTTTCTGCCTATTCAAGTTTCCCTATGCCAAAAATGATCAGGAAGGACTTCTCCACCCTTGCATACGTGGAGCCCAGCAGCAGCTCTCTGAGCACGCTCTTCTTCTCTGCTCCCAAAGGCAGAGCCTTTCTCTCATCACCGCCTTCCCATTCAGGCACCGCTTCCTTGATAGTTTGTCTGATGAGAACAATGATAAATCAATTCTGTCTGTAATTACTCCCATCCCCTCATTGCCCTGCTCTGCAGAGCTGGCCTTTTTTTCCTGTGCCCTTTTGGGGTCAATGAAACTTCTAATACACAGGTTTAGGATTGAATCAATAATAGTGAAGCACGTAGAAATTATTTGAAGCTAGAGAGGTGTTGTACCTGAATAAAAATATTCTCTGTGTAGTAATAATATATATATTTTTACTATGATGTTATACATCATAAATCCTGAGAGAGATCCACCATACCTATGTTGCAGTTTGATCTCTCCAGAAAAAAACTACAAATATTTCATTAATAACACAGAAATCAGTTTTCTGAGCTACAGAGTGTGGTGGTTTTTTTTTTTTTTCAAAACTACTTTACTGATGGCTTTTTTGCCAGTACAGCCACTAGAACAAAAGAAATAAAAATGATTATTTTATTATTTTTTTTTCTTTCCCTGCTTCATAGAAGAAGTATGAAATGTCTTGTTTTGTGCTCTGTAGTCCTAGGCTGCAGCATGCCTGCTGTCGCCAAACCATTAGAGAACTCAACTGAAAGTGCAGCAAATCTGTACCTAACACAGATTTCTGCACAAAAAAAAATGTCCCTATCTTGTGCAAATGCCATTCCCTGCCTCATCTCACATCCCAGATCCGTATTACTGGGGAAACTGGGATAAATGAAAGAAAGATGATTAGAATTTTTTACATATATTCTATCCTATAATATATATGAGTTATATATATGATACTATGTAGTATGTTTATAAGATATCATGTATATGTATGACACATATATACATTATTTTTTCCATGCTTGGAAAGGATAGAAGCATTCTGACCGACATTTTTCTTTGCCATAATGAAAACATGAATAGGAAAACATGAAAAATAGCATAGGGCACACAGCAAGGAAAATGTTAACCAAAGTGAGCTAATTTTTGGCAAAATTAATAAATAATCAAATCCAGGATTTTGTAATGGGGTGGTCAGGACACTTTACGTGGCCCTGGCATCATTATCTCTTATAAGTAATCTAGTGAGCTTGAAAGGAAATGTCTCCTTTTATGGAGCCTATGTGTCAGATAGAATATGACATATTCTTGCAGGTTATGATATAAAATCAGCCACACCATGCATTCAGAAGGGAAGAAATAAATGAATAGACCTTGCAAGGCAAGGTAAAATGCTGCAATATTGAAGACAACTGTTTACCTTCTCTATCTTTAATCCTTTTTGTTCCGCGGTATCTAGTCTCTGCTTTCCAAACAGCGTGCAGAAATTCAGAAAGGCTTTTGTAACATCAAACTCTTCCTGTGGCCCTGAAGTTTTGTGTGCCCAAAAGGCAAGTCATTGAGAGCATGTCTAGTGTCTCAGAAATATCTTGAAACAACAGAAAGTTGTCCAAAGGAGCTTCATCTACTTTATATGTATATAAATAAGAGTTACAAGGCAAAATTAGATGTTTCCTTTTTTTTTTTCCTCATGGCAAAGCATGAAAAGCAACTAACAGTGATGCAGTTAATGTGACCATTGACTTTTCCCTGTCCCCAGAAGTTTCTTGAGCAACCCTTCACGTGCGTGTACTTTCCTTCCCTACATTCATTGCTGTCTCTCACTTTCAGGTTGTGTTCGATACTTTCGTTGTTGTGTGGGTAGTGCCAAAAAGTTTGGAGGAGAAACATGGTGGAATCTGAGAAAAACGTGCTACCAGATTGTTGAACACTCCTGGTTTGAATCCTTTATCATATTCATGATTCTTCTGAGCAGCGGAGCCCTGGTTAGTGTAGCATAGTTTCACGTATTTATTTAGAAGTATCTTTAGCTTTAATTTGCACTCAGAGAAGTTTTTTTGTAGCAGAAAACACAGTGAATGTCTTTGAACTCATCAGGAGAAAAAAGAAGAGGCTTCACATAGCAGTCACTTATTCACTATTGTAACTATTGCAAATCTATTATGCATATTATTAAAAACTATAAGAAAACATGAGCAGAGGTAAAAATATATAGCTCTCAAAATCTGTTTCTATTCTGGCTGTATACTGGATTTTTCTCAGAAAATTATTTCACAGTTGTGAAATATAAAGGAGGTTTTATATCATTAAAACACAGAAATGATTCTTAATACTTGAAAATAATAGTACTTAGCTCTTTTCAGCATATAAACTCCTCGAAACAAATTTCTAAAAATATATGCTTTCCTCCTAGGATTCCAGTGTGCATGATGCATGTGTCTGCAGGGCTGACAGAAAAAGAAAGAGATGGGACAGGGAGAATTACACATGTACCAGCTGACATAGATTTGAGTAAAAGATGGTGTTTAGCTCTGTGTAAAACATATTGAATGATGAAGGGGTCTTAATGATGCTGGACTTTCATTTTATAAGCTCATCTCTGACTTTTGGTCTTTATCTATATATTATGATTTCAGGCATTTGAAGACATCCATATAAATGAGAGGAAAAGCATTAGACATATGTTGACATTTCTTGACAAATTGTTCACTTTCATCTTTGTTCTGGAGATGCTCTTGAAATGGGTGGCTTATGGCTTCAAGAAGTATTTCACCAACGCCTGGTGCTGGCTGGACTTCCTCATTGTAGACGTAAGTTCTGCCTTTGGTGTTTCTACATGGGTCCTGATGCAGGACATAGTAGCAGAATCACTGATAGTTTTCTGGATGCAAAGTTAAGACAGTACTCTTACCTTCTTTAAGGCTGGTTCCAGGGTATTGCACTCCAGGCATTGAAAATATGGAGAGATTTGGGTTTGGTTTGGTTTGTTTTAAACCAGAATAAAGGAAACAGACGTCAGGACATTGCTAATACTTTCTTTTGTCTTCTCATTCAGGTTTCTTTAATAAACCTCTTCGGCAGTTCATTTGGCCCCATGAAATCTCTTAGAACTCTCCGAGCTCTGAGACCCCTAAGAGCATTGTCACGATTTGAGGGAATGAGGGTAAGATTGACTGCAAATTAAAGCTTATCAGTACTAATAAGCACGTAACAGGTTTGTAACTCATGACTGTGTCTTCATGAAGTTCACATGTCTACTCCAAGTTCCGTTTAGGACCTGTAAAATGAATTTTTATTAGATGGCTTTGCTGCACTCCTCAGTACTTGACTGCTACTCCTTATAGACTTTCTTTGAGTGATTGATCCTAAGTGCCATTGAAACTAAAACTACACTAGGCAGAAATTTGTTCCTTTGCTGCTCAGTCATTCCTGTGTTTCTGTCTTACTGAAATAGTCAAAAATTTTTGAAGTCTGATGGCAAGCTAATTCAGAGGAAATAATCACCTCTGTTCTGCAAGTTTTAGTGGATTGATTTACAAAAACTGTAGACTATTAAGAGGTACTTTGCTCAAATTGTTGTTCCAAATAAACAACTTCTTTCAAAAAGCAGGAGTGTTTGTAGAATATTTGCTGCCTTTTTCCATCAAAGGAGCACCTGGAACAATGTGAAGCTGCTGAATATTAATTGCATTTAATTACAAATCTAACATTGTCCAAATGCAGAAAAAGATTCCCTCAGCCACGTGCAGAACACATCTGTACACTTTGATGTGAAACACTATGATAACCACAGTGGTACATGGGCAAAAGACTGGTCTATGGAATATACTCTGGTATGTGAAGACAAATGATAGAAATACATGTGGCATCGCTGTCACACATTTGCATGGGCATGCAGCCTTAAGGCAGCTGAGATATAAACTGCTTTTGGATATCTTCTGGAAGTGAGGCTGAAAGGTCTCTCATTGCAAACTTGTCACAGTGAAAGTAGAGTGAAAATGCATTAAATGAATTCACAGCATGTATCAAAACTTCCATGTCTAGGGTAGATTTTGAAACAGGTACCCTCATACTTTCTGTCTTGTAATGCAGAATGTGTATGACATGGTCTCCAAAAACCTTCACAAAGCTTTTTCATTTTTCTTCTAGTCCATCAACTTCTTTACTGCCTGACAGCTCAGTTTACTGCCTTCACTGAGGAAACTCAAAGATGCATTCTCATCATTTCCTTACACTACCCCATTTTGTGAAGCAATCTGTTATGTCTTAGTGTGCACTTAAAACCTGCATGGACATTTTCTGTGATTGTACAGCACTTAGCACAGAAAAAGTACCTAGCTCATAACCCACTGAAAATAATACATCTAGCAAAATACTAGTGGACAGTTATTACTGGTCCTTTTAAAAACTTTCTACAGTCTTAATAATACAGTCCTCTGCACTAGTGCTTATGGACGAATACTTCAGAAATTTTATGTGATAAAAGTTTAAAATGAGTAAAGAACCAAACTTCCCCCACTCCAAAACCAAGGGAAAGTCATCAAGAGGATGGACTTACATTATAGTGTACTTATGTGGTAGTGGCACACAGCAGACCAGAAAGTATCAACTACTCCTTTGAAAGCCTAAGGGATATTTTGGACCTCTGAACCTTTGTTCAAAGCATCCTGGCCAGCTATGACCGGTATTTACATGGAAGACATGAGGTTTCTGTTTGCTGAGATGACTAAGTGACTGCTTATTGCACTGAGCAAATACCTGAGCCCATCTTGGTTTAAGTGTGTTTTTTCCTCTCCTATTTCATCCGAGGTGGTTGTCAATGCCCTCGTGGGAGCCATCCCTTCAATCATGAATGTTCTACTCGTCTGCCTCATCTTCTGGCTCATCTTTAGCATCATGGGAGTGAATCTGTTTGCTGGGAAGTTTGGGAAATGTGTCAACCTGACAGAAGAAGATTCAGAATTAAATAGTTCAATCAATGACATAACAGACTGTAGAATGTATAATAACACAGGAAAAATATTCTGGGTCAATGTTAAAGTCAACTTTGATAACGTTGGCTCTGGCTACCTGGCTCTTCTTCAGGTGGTAAGTGCTGCTTGCCTTCACTAGCCAGCACCATGTCAGATGAACTTGATGTCCTGTCAACTTCGAACTCATCTCTGTGGGTGATGGAAAAGAGTGGTGTCATACAGCTTGCTCTTCCTTTGTGGCTGGCTGTTCAAACATCAATGCTGTTCGTACACAAATGGAAAAAGGGAAACAAATTAGACTCTGCTGTGATTTTCCAGGCGATAAAGTAAGCATCTGGTGGAGAAGTGGTGATTCAGCCTCCAGTAGGCTCAGGAGCATGAGAGCTTGAGTCAATCTCAGAAGGAAATCTGGGGCAAATACTGACCTAATCTGTCAAAATACAAATTTGTTCAGCCATAAGAGTTGTAAGGCCTTTAGTAGACCGTGCTAATGAAAGTTTGCTCTGTCAGTATCCTAGGACAAAATGTCCTGTCCCACACTAGCAAGATTTCACATCCTGATAAGGCTGAGAATGCCACAGATACAGCAGAGGCAAGTTTTCCCTGAGGTCAGAGCTTGGTGCTTTGTGTGTGTCACCATACCAAAGGCTCTTACTGCAGTCAGTGTCATTCAGATACTGCAAATTATGTGAAGACGTTTAGCCTGAGAGTCCAACACATTTTCTATAATCTCTCATTCTAGGCAACATTTAAAGGTTGGATGGACATCATGTACGCGGCAGTAGATTCACGAGAGGTCAGTCACTATATTCAAACCATAGTTTTTGTTAATGCTACTGCTTTCTGCAAAAGTATATGATTTTTGTACTTCTACATCTGCTGTTAGTCTGTGCTAAGTCTTTTCAGTAATTATATTTACCAGCTTATGGAAATGTTTAATCTGCAAATGACTCATAATATCCTAAAGCTAATCTGCTGTAATGGGGAGAGGGATTAAACTCTAGATCCACCCACTTAAATGCAGTTACCTATAGTGTAACGTCTCCGTATGAGTTCACCTCCAAGTACTCTCTGTGGTTAATGGAGATCTAGTCAATGTGATCAGAGGGATCTAAGGAGCGTTTCAGCTCACTGAGGATATCTATCATAGAATGGTTTGGTTGGAAGGCACCTTAAAGATCATCCATGGGCAGGGACACCTTCCACCAGACCAGGTTGCTCAAAGCCTCATCCAACCTGGCCTTGAACACTTCCAGGGATGGGGCACCCACAGCTTCTCTGGGCAACCTGTGCCACTGCCTCACCACCCTCACCGGGAAGAATTTCTTCCTAATATCTCGTCTAAATCTTCCCTCTTCCAGTTTAAAGCCATGGCCCCCTGTCCTATCACTCCATGCCTTTGTCAAAAGTCCCTCCCCAGCTTTCTTGTCGGCCCCTTTAGGTACTGGAAGGGCTGCTCTAAGGTCTCCCCAGAGCCTTCTCTTCTCCAGGATGAACAACCCCAACTCTCTCAGCCTGTCTTCACAGGAGAGATGCTCCAGCCCTCAGATCATCTTTGTGGCCTCCTCTGGACTCGCTCCAACAGGTCCATGTCCTTCTTGTGTTGGGATCCGCAGAGCTGAAGGCAGTACTGCAGGGGGGGTCTCACCAGAGTGGAGTAGAGGGGGAGAATCCCCTCCCTTGACCTGCTGGTCACGCTGCTTGTGATGCAGCCCAGAATGCGGTTGGCTTTCCGAGCTGCAAGTGCACATTGCTGGATCATGTTGATCTGCTCCTCTACCAACATCCCCAAGCCCTTCTCCTCGCAGCTGCTCTCAATCCATTCTCTGCCCAGCCTGTATTTGTGCCTGGGATTGCCCCGACCCATGTGCAGGACCTTGCACTTGGCCTTGTTGACCTTAATGAGGTTCGCACAGGCCCACCTCTCCAGCCTGCCCAGGTCCCTCTGGATGGCATCCCTTCCTTCCAGTGTGTCCACCGCACCACACAGCTGGTGTTGGTAAACTTGCTGAGGGCGCACTCAATCCCACGTCCATGTCACTGACAAAGATGTTGAACAGCGCCAGTCCCAGCATCGACCCCTGAGGAACACCACTCATCACAGTCTCCACTAGGACATTGAGCTGTTGACCACGACTCTTTGAGTGTGACCACCTAGCCAATTCCTTATCCACTGAGGGGTCCGTCTGTCAAATCCACGTCTCTCCAATTTAGAGACAAGGATGTTGTGCGGGACAGTGTCACATGCTTTGCACGGATCCAGGCAGATGGACTATATTATTCAACTGAGCACCTCTTTATACTACATTGACTCTAATAATAACTGGATGTCCATCAGCTAAGAGAGGATTGAGAGTTCCCACTCATGTGGAGGCACCTACTTTCACACATCTTTATGAAACTCAAGCTTGGAGTAAACCTGAATGTTTTACAGTAACAGAGTTTAAAGTTCACTTCAAAATACAAAACAAGCTTCATCAAGAATCTAGCTATTGTGGCTAAGCAACTATTTAAAATACATCGTCAGGCATCACTAGTATTATTTTGCCTACTGCTTGTATTGCCAGTCGCATTTGCTGTCTTATCAGAAGTATCATCCAATGTTACACAGAACAAAGTGGTATGTCTTTGGAGGCAAAGAACTTGAAACTAAGAGGCTATCTTAATTTGACCATGAATTCCAAGGAATCAAATAATTTTAAAAGTAATCACATATGTAAATGTTTTTGTTTGTTTGTTTCAGTGGAGTTCTTTTGTGTTTCAATTTGAAGAACTATGGTTTTTTGTTCTAGTTTTGTTTTTAACCATAGTAGCTATAGAAGGAGTTTTCTGCTAAGAAAAAAAACACGTCTAGGCCAAGATTTTTAGTGGCAAGAGCTTTGAATTAGATTTCTAAATAGTTTGCTTGATTTTTCAAGTACTGAGCAACTTACAGCTCCTGTTCTTATTGGAAGAAGCAGAACTGATGCTTCTGAAATGCTTGTGAAAATCATGTCAAGAATGTCCAATTCCTGAATTGTTTCTCTTGATTTTAGTAGGACCTCAGTCAATTGCAATAGTAAGATTTTGTCAGGTTTGAAAAGGAAAAAAAACCCACAACAATCAGCTTTTGTGAAAAAAAAAAAAAGAAAAAGAAATTTAAATTAAAAGTAAACCTCATTCAACAGTAGTCAGAGACTAAGTTTTACTCTACAAGTTTTTCAGTGCAAATATGTTGAATACCAGTATGAATTAAATTATCCTGTTCTCCAATGGTTTAGCCAGAAACTATATAAACAAACATTGTAAAAGAAATCAAATTAACAAGTTGTCATAGTATGAACACTTTGTATTACTATTATTTTGAGCCTATTTTCTGGTTAGTTACCTCTCAGGGGTTGTGCTTGGCGTATCATTTCGTGACATTCATGTTTAATTTCAAAAGGGATAGTAGTCAGCATCCAAGCAATTATGTCCCTACGAGGTCCTAGAATTTTGATGCGTCTAGTAGTCACGGTATGAATGTTACTTTCTTCCACTATTTAGTTCCCCTTCCAAAAGTATCGTATACATATAATATTTTGTGTTACGCACTATTGGTAGTTTTAAACTATATCAATTTTGTCAGAATTAGCAGTAGGGCTGTAAATCTTAGTTCCTCCTGGAATCAGTTTGCGAGAGGATCTGCAATATGAAGATTACTCTGAATTGGGCCCATGTTGTTATTGGTCATTTTTCATGTTGCTTATCATTCTTGCAGAAAAATGAGCAGCCACAAATGGAGCACAGTCTATTTATGTATCTCTACTTTGTGAACTTCATCATCTTTGGATCTTTCTTTACCTTGAATCTCTTTGTTGGGGTTATTATTGACAACTTCAACCAGCAAAAGAAAAAGATAAGTATATTGTTTGTGCTCCCACAATATCTCAAGCAACGCTATCTTTAGAGAACAAGGTCCTTGCTGTACACAGAATCTAAAATTTCTATTGGCATTTACAAAAGCCTTAGTAATTAGGTTAGCAGATGTAACACTCAGGGTGAGTTTCTTCCTCCTTTCTTTTCCCCTGTGACCTAGCTCTTTCCCAGCATTTTGAAGGCAATGACATCTTCTTTGCAGCCACTTAAGATTTTGCTCCTTTTGGGGAACTGAACACGACAGGAGACTCGTTATTTAGAAAATGGTCTAGTAGAGATGCTCTGATGAGTATTTTGGATATTCAACAAGACCAGGACGTGGGAAGCCAGGGAAAGATTTATCCCTGTCCAGGTTTTCAGTAGATCCTTTGTTTTCCTGCCTTCTGAGCTATCTGAATTTCACCCCAGGACTTCTGCTCTGTGAACACATGGTTTGTGTCACTCTGTTTTGTTGAACACACTTGCACATTATGAAAAGGGCTAGTACCAGCAAGATGTGAAAAAGGAAAGAATGGTAGTTTCCAGCATTTTAGACTTTGTAACTACAATAATGCTGCTTTCTCATCAAATAACAGCGACATTTCTTTATATACTTAGGTGGGGAAGATATTTTTATGACAGAAGAACAGAAAAAATATTACAATGCAATGAAAAAGTTGGGATCCAAGAAACCTCAAAAACCCATTCCAAGACCACTGGTAAGACTGTCTGAATACTTCAAAAGGAAAATGCATTGCAAAAGTGCAATGTAATTTACTGAAAAGTGCGTAAGTTTATATATGGCATATGAATTATTTATGCTGTCTTTATATTGATACTCAGACAGTGCTGAGTAAATTCCCTACCAAAAAGTTGTACTGAAAGATTTTACAGGTTAAATGTTTATTAAGTTCTCAGTATAAATTTTGTTGAATTTTACATTCACCTTGGAACTGATTAAAATTCAGGATGAGAAGGGATTTTTAATGTCATTTTTATATTCTGCTTTTCTTAAATTTCTGTGACTTCGCTATAGTTGAGTGACTTTGCAACGTAAAAATTGGAGCTGTTGGAAACATGAACAGATGAGTACTCCCTACTTTTATAACTCATGCCAGATGTATTTTTTTCCTCTAGAACAGATACCAAGGGTTCCTTTTTGACATAGTAACATGCCAAGCCTTTGATGTTGTCATCATGATTCTCATCTGCCTTAACATGATCACCATGATGGTGGAAACCTATGAGCAAAGTGAAACAAAGGCTCACATCCTTAGTAAAATCAATATACTCTTCGTTGCCATCTTTACTGCAGAATGTGTACTGAAATTGATGGCTCTGAGGCAGTACTATTTCTCAAATGCCTGGAACATATTTGATTTAGTTGTTGTGATCATGTCACTTGTTGGTAAGTAAAATTGGTTTGGCAGATTCTTTACTAAATCTATTATTATTATTATTATTATTATT